ATAGCATTCTTAAAAAAACACCAAACCTCTGATTTCTTAACCTGCTTTTCTATTTCTTAATAGAAAAAGAAGTTTCATCTTTCTTAGTCTGCAAATTACAGGTAAACAACTAAGCTGCTTCCACTACAAAATTAGACTCCTACTTGAAAAACTACAGAAAGATGTCTCTGGAGATGGAAAATGGGAGATGTGCAGACTTATATGGGCTCCTCTGAACTGATACTGGCACCAACTCACAGAAGCCACTGTGTGATTAGCTCAGCTGCTCTTTTTGCATGCCTCCAGGGGTTAATAGCTAAAGCTACATCTGTGGAGGAAATATAATGACAACACTATCCACGGGAAAAGACATTATAAACAAAGAATTTCCCTCTACAGTTGAGGTCTCCATTGTCTGAAATACTGTCTGTTCCTTTCCCAGTCCCCGCCCTCCGGCATGCTTCTTACCAGCTGCAATCACAAAGTATTTCTGATACATGTCCTCAAGTTTGGACTCTGGCTGCTTAAATTCTAGATTCTCAAGTCCAAAAGGAACATACGACAAGTGATTATAAAGATATGGACGATATTTGCAGCTCTGAATATACATCAAAACTAAAGTACTCCATAGAAATATTTTACAACTGCGTCTGTAATTGCTAACTTATACAGGCTGGATCATATTTAGAGAGGGGCGTTTAGCTGTGGTAGTATGCCATTCTATTTATTTATTATCATTTTTTTGAGACTCAGTCTTACCATGTGGCCCAGGCTGGTCCTGAACTCTTGGGTTCAGGAGATCCTCTTAGCTTTCCTCCCAAAGTGCTGGGATTACTAGCATAAGCCACTGAGCCCAGATTGCTCCATTCTAACAGGGGCATTAACAGAGATGATCTAGTGAAAAGTAACCAGAGTGGAAAATAATCCAGAAACTCTGTCAGATAAAGAACAACTAGAATAAAAAGCCTGGAGAACAGAAGGCTTCGGGAGGGTATGGTATATTGGACCAAAAGACATGTAAGATCCTTTATAAAACAAAAATGTTCAAATTTGAAGTTATCACATAATTGCCAGTTTAAAGTCAGCTATACTGGTTAACATACTAGATACACTGGATGAGAGGGTCTCAACCAAAGCCAATGTTGCCCTCTAGGGGATATCTGGCAATATCCATTTTGGGTTGTCACAACTGGGGAGGAGGTATTACTAGCATCTCCTAGGAAATGGCAAGGGATGCTTCAGAGGACAGTCCTCTCTCATAAAGAATTATCCATCTGTAATATCAATAGTGTCAAAGTTGAGAAATCCTGTAGATGACTCTGGCAGCAGGGTATCAGAATTCCTGGAAATCACATACAGCTTTTAAAAACCACATTCTAGGCCGGGCGCGGTGGCTCACGCCTGTAATCCCAGCATTTTGGGAGGCTGAGGCAGGTGGATTACGAGGTCAGGAGTTCGAGACCACTCTGGCTACTACGGTGAAACCCCTTCTCTAAAATTTTTTGTATCTAAAAATACAAAAAATTGACTGGGCATGGTAGCAGGCGCCTACAGTCCCAGCTACTTGGGAGGCTAAAGCTGGAGAATGGCATGAACCCGGGAGGCGGAGCTTGCAGTGAGCCAAGATCATGCCACGGCACTCCAACCTGGGCGACAGAGTGAGACTTCTGTCTCAAAAAAAAAAAAAAAAAAAAAAAAAAAAAAGCACATTCTAAATTATTTTATCTATTTTTATTCACAAAATTTACTTTAAAATTTCAAACAATATAAGAACAGGTAAGACATGCATGGGTTATAAAGCAAGCAAGGAAGCATGCCCAGCAGATTTACCAAGTTGCCTCAGAATGAGACACACCCTTTGACTTCACATGCAACAGAAAGGCACAGTTTTATTTCAAACAAAGCACTGTTTTGCTGTAACACCGTTAAAAACTAGAAAGGAAAACTCAATCAAACCAAAAACTAGATGCTTAGGAATAAATGGTAGAATTCTTACAAAACCACCATACTTCAATTCAATCCAAATCAATTCAACAAATCTATGCTCAAAGTATAACATTTAGTTTTCTTAGACACTGAATGAGCAATACAAAAATCCCTCAAGGGACTTACAACATTAAAGTTTTCTATATCTGTGGTTCTAAGTCTGTTACCAACTTCCAGGACTCTGCTTCTTTCCCTCTGCCTATTAACAATGTGGTGTTAAAAGAGACTTCCTACCACTATGTTTCTTACAGCTGGTTCAACCACTCATCTCATAGCCAGGCATGAAAGAAAGGAGCATACCACTAACAAAGAACTGTTCTTTAGATGGTAATCATATATTTATTTCATATTCAGTAAATATTATTTCAGGTCTTATTAACTAAAGGAATAAACTGCTCTGGCTATAAGATGCAAGGATGATACGCATATTCATGAAGTGTTCCATATTCTTCACCCAGATACAAGAAATTCAGAGAACACTTGAGAGATACTATGCAAGATGAATATCACCAAGGCACACAGTCATCAAGGTCTATCCTAAATATACATGCATGCAACATCAGAGCACCCAGATTCATAAAACAACTACCACTAAACCTAAGAAAACTGAGCAATACAATAGTGGGAGGCTTCAACGCTCCACTGGTGTTCTTGTGTCCTTTAAAAGCACATTAAAAAGGTAACACAATTCATCATGATCAAGTAGGGTTTATTCCAGGAATTCAAGGATGGTTGAACATATACAAACCAATAAATGGGATTCACCACATAAAGAAAACTAAGAATAAAAACCATATAATCATCTCAATAGATATAGAAAAAGCATGTGATAAAATCCAACATTCTGTCATGATAAAAACCTTCAACAAACTAGGCACTGAAGGAACATACCTCAAAATAATAAGAGCCATCTATGACAAACCTATAACCAACATCATACCAAATGTGAAAAAGTTGAAAGCATCTCCCCTAAGAACCAGAATAAGACAAGGATGTTCAGTCTCACCACTCCCATTCAACACAGTACTGGAAGTCCTAGTCAGACCAATCAGCCAAGAGAAGGAAATAGAAGGTATCTAAATTGGAAAAGAGGAAGTCAAATTCTCTCTGTTCACTAATGGCATGATAGTGTATATAGGAAACCCTAAAGCCTTCTCCAAAAGACTCCTAGACTTGATAAACAACTTCAATAAAGTTTAAGGATACAAAATCTCTATATAAAAATTAATAGTATTTCTACACACCAATTAACATTCAAGCTGAGAACCAAACAAAAAAATCTCATTTGCAACAGCCACACACACGCATACACACACACACATTACCCAGGAATACATTTAATCAAGTGGGTAAAAGATCTCTGCAAGAACTACAAAACACTGATGAAAGAAATCATAGATGATACAATCAGAGAGAAAAACATCCCACGCTCATGGATTGGAAGAATCAACATTCTTAAAATGCCAATATTGCTCAAAGCAATCTGGAGATTCAATGTAATTCCTAGCAAATTACCAATGTCATTTCTTCACAGCATTAGGAAAAAACAATCCTAATGTTTATATGGAACCAAACAAAAGCCAGAACAGTCAAAGCAATCCTGAGCAAAAAGAACAAATCTGGAGGTATCACATTACTCAGCAACAAATTATACCACATACCTGTAGTACTGGTATAAAAATAAACATGGTACTGGTACAAAAATAAACACATAGATCAATGGAACAAAACAGAGAACAAATAAATGAAGTCACATACCTATAACCAACTGATCTTCAACAAATAACAACAAAAAAAAAATGGGGAAAGGAGACTCTATTTAATAAATAGTACTGGGAAAACTGGCTAGCCATAGCCTGAAGAATGAAACTGGACCCCTACCTCTCCCCACATACAAAAATTAACTCAAGATGGATTAAAAACTTAAATGTTAAGATCTGAAACTATAAAAATTCCCAAAGAAAATCTAGGAAAAACTCTCTGGATATCGCCTAGGCAAAGAATTTATGATGAAGACCCCAAAAGCAAATGCAATGAAAACAAAAACAGACAAATGGGACTTAAACTAAAAAGCTTCTGGATAGCAAAAGAAATAATCAACAAAGTAAACAGCCTACAGAATGGGAGAAAATATCTGCAAATTATGCCTCCAACAAAGGACTAAGATAACTCAAACAACTCAACAAGAGAAAAAAAAAAATTAAAAAGTGGGCAAAGGCCATGAACCGACATTTCTCAAAAAAAGAAATATAAGTGGCCAAGAAACACATGAAAAATGCTCTACATCACTAATCATCAGATAAATACAAATTTAAACCACATTGAGATTTTTTACATGCTGGTTTCTGAGCTCTACATGATTAAAGATAAGATGTTATTCTAGGAGTGAGAAAAAACGGGGAAGAGTTGAATGTCTGCAGGGAACAAGAAATAGTAACAATAAATGTAGTAGAAAATAGAGAAAGAACTAACCAAAGACATATAGAAGGAGATGGGTAGCATCAATTTCTGAAATTGTGGATTTTGTTTTTACTCAGTAGGATGTAGCAACCTGGAAGCAGGCACACAGAAACAGAAAAAGTATCAGATAACTTTCATGAGAATTGAAGTTTCCATCTAAACAATAGGCAAGGAAGGTGAAGACAGAACTTGGCAAATTTTTCCATACAGGGTCCAGATGGTAGATATAAAATAATAAAATAATAATAAAAGGCTTTGTAGACCATACAATCTCTGCTACAACACCTCAACTCTGCTGTTGTAGTATAAAAGCAGTCACAGACAGTATGTACATGAACGGGCAAACCTGTGTTACTTATAAAAACAGGTGTTAGGCTGGCTTTGACTTGTTACAGGGCTATAATTTACTAACCCCTGGTTTAAGACAAGAAAGTGAAGATAAAAAGAGGGACTGATAACACAGAAATCAACAGGCTTGAACTCTGAAGAGCTGAAGAACTAGAGGCTAAAACGAAATTTTATGGCATGAATAAACCAAAACTCATGTTAGAATTAATACAGTCTATAAAACAAACCTTTGAGCCTATTTCACAAACATCAATAGGATCATTATCTCCAAAGCAGTTCGTGCTCTTATCTTTTTCACGGGGATCTTCCCAAGTCTAAAATTAAAAAAAAAAAAAAAAAAAGCAGAAATGTAACTTAATACTATAATGTACTTTAATCTTTCCACATAATCACAAAGTTTTATAGATAACAATAATCCGAAGAAAACATTATCAGAAATTACATAGGCACAAGGCCAACAGGCCAGTATGTCCCTAAGGATCATAATAATTAAAACAGATGTATAGTATTTCCTCCCTCTGTCTCTCAATTGTCAGTATAATTGCATCTGAGAGTGGGTGGTATATCCAGACATACTCATCTTCCAAGTTCAGTCAGGGAATAAATTCACATTCACTTTTAGAGTTTCAGTGGATGTTCCCACTGTCTGTGCCCTTGTTTCTGTGTTTCCACTGACTGCCTCAACTGTGGCTTCCGTCATTCACTGCTTCCTTTGACACGGTAACAGCACAGGGATCTAAATTATTAAAAGGAACCCAGTTTTTCCTTTATAAACGAAAGGACAAAACACTACTAAAGAAAATTAAAACCTATTTTGTCTCATTCATTCCATTAAAAAATACTCTACCTGTCAAATCTCAAGGACCTTGATAAAAACATGAAAAGACATCAATTCTTTAGTTTACTGGCAAGATTAGTTACAAAATAAATACATGGGAATTTTTATAAATGAAGACCGTAGTAGAAATTTGCTAGTAAGATTAAAGATCCCTTCGGCACTACCTCTCCCAAAAAGCCACAGAATTGCCTGATTCTGAATGGAACTGTAGAAGTTCCCTAAAATTATTTGCTTTAAATTCAAATTAAAAGGGATACAGAGACTGTCATCCCAAGATTCAGATTATCATTATTGTCTAAGATTTCAGGTTATCTAAGTTTATTTCCTTTAATTTTATACAAATAATTACAAATAAACTTATTTACAGCTAAGCATTAGAGAAATTCCAATATTTTCCTTCTAGTACTAATAATAGTTTATTCAGAAATAACCTGGCCTAACTTTATCTTTAAAAAAAATTAATAAATGAAGTCCAACAACATTTCACTGCCCCCAACACTAATACTACCAAGAAAATGTAAGAATAACCACAATTGTTAATCTTACATACTGGCCATAGGTGACAAACACTTTCTAGCTAATATATACACACACAACATATACATATATACATGCATACTGCATGAATAATGTACCATAACAAATTCCACTTTATAGACAAGTAAATTGAAACACAGTTTAAACTTGCACAAACTCATGGTTTCTAAATGGTAAAGACTGTATTAGAACTCATGCTACTAATCATTATTTTTTATGTGCAAATTATAACAACAATTGAATAGCATTTATTTCAAATATAACCCCATCTACTTCACAGTTCTCTTCTATTAAATACTTTCTCTTACTCTGAGAATCTCCTAGGTAACTTTCCTATAGAGGTTCTGTTCTTCCCTAGTCTTCCCTTTACTGCTTCTTCTTTTCTATTAACAGGCATTCACTCATACTGTAAAATATTTATTGAGTACCTATTTCGGGCCAGTAACAGAGATGTATAGGGAACAGTCAATGACATGGAGAGTGTCATGTTAACAAATGGTATGGCATTTGTGACAAACACTATAAAGGTAATCTTAATGTGCTGGGGAAACCAAGATGGGACACCCAGGTATAATCAGAATCAAACAACCTACTGCAGAATCAGAAAATATCTGAGAGGTTCCTCCTTGCTAATGCAGAAATCCTACCTCATAATTTTCCTTATCCCTACTCCCACTTCCAAGAGAACAAATGTGACAAGCTAGAAGTCCCGTTGGCTTAAAGGAAAACATCTAGATTCTACCACAAACTATCTTGACTAAATCATCTACATCCGTTTCTTCAGCTATTAATGGCTTAAATAAGAGGACCTTTTTTTGTTTTTTCTTTTTTTTTTTTTTTTTTCCAGACAGAGTCACACTCTTCTCTCCCAGGCTAAAATGCAGTGGCACGATCTCCGCTCACTGCAACCTCCGCCTGCCAGGTTCAAGAGATTCTCCTGCCTCAGCCTCCCAAGTAGCTGGGACTACAGGCGCCCACCACCACGCCCGGCTAATTTTTTTGTATTTTTAGTAGAGACAGGGTTTCACCATGTTAGCCAGGGTAGTCTCAATCTCCTGATCTCGTGATCCACACGCCTCGGCCTCCCAAAGTGCTGGGATTACAGGTGTGAGCCACTGCGCCTGGCCAATAAGAGGATCTTTAGACACATCCTAGCCCTAAAATGCTAAGATTGTTAGTGCTCATTCACAATCTGCATGAATGCCACCAGTGAATAGGAGGCCCACATACTTATGACCTACTTCGGACAATTTTGATGGGCATTATTTTTTTTTTAAAGTCCTTCCTCACACAGAGACAAATACTGTCTTGACATTAACTTGGTTGTGGTGGATATTTCCGTTGGTTGGTTGGTCCTCAGAACTCCAATTTCAACATTACCTAGCAATATGGTTACATACGTTGAGGAATTAAGTACCCAAGTAGAAAATTATTAAACTCTACAATATTGTTGTGCTTAGGGCCAATTCTTCATGATTTTACTTACCAGCAAAAATACCAGACTGGTTCTCTTTATTTCCAACCTTTAATACTCTGCATCTACAGACCTCACTTTTTACTACAAAAAGAGATATACACTAAATCACCTCTAATTTAACTTGAAAATACAGTATAATTTCAACAGGAAAGGAAATCCTGACAAATTTAAGCTTTGGGTATGCCCTCTTGTGGAGTCTTATGTGTACAACTATTAACAGACAGACAACTAGAAAAGAACAAACGCTGAAGAAGAAATATCAAGAAGCAGAAGTTCAAAATCTTAATATTGGTTTCACAAAAATGACAAAAGATTAGCTTCCAGACTTTAGAAATAATTTTGACAACTAAATAAGAAAAAGGGCAACCCAACTAAAATAGGCTGAAGATATGAACAGATAATTAAAAGACGGGGAAACATGAATGACTTATAAATTTATGAAAAGATACCTAGTCTGATCAGAGAAATGCTAAAATCGCAATAAGATACTATTTCAAAAACCTAAAAATCTTATAATCTAAAATATTAGTAAGGATGTACGTTATCTGGAACCCTGTATACTACTGGCAGGAGTATAAATTGTCACAACTTCTTTTTTGTTTGTTTGTTTTGAGACGGAGTCTCACTCTGTTGCCCAGGCTGGAGTGCAGTGGCACAATCTCGGCTCACTACAAGCTCTGCCTCCCGGGTTCATGCCATTCTCCTGCCTCAGCCTCCCGAGTAGCTGGGACTACAGGCGCCCGCCACCACGCCCAGATAATTTTTTGTATTTTTAGTAGAGACGGGGTTTCACCGTGTTAGCCAGGATGGTCTCGATCTCCTGACCCCGTGATCCGACTGCCTCGGCCTCCCAAAGTGCTGGGATTATAGGCGTGAGCCACTGCGCCCGGACCCCATTTTTTTTTTTTCTTTTGAGATGGAGTCTCGCCTTGTCACCCAGGCTGGTATGCAGTGGCTCGATCTCGGCTCACTGCAAGCTCCAACTCCAGGGTTCAGGCCATTCTCCTGCCTCAGCCTCCCGAGTAGCTGGGACCACAGGCGCCTGCCACCAGGCCCGGCTAATTTTTTGGATTTTTAGTAGAGAAGGGGTTTCACCGTGTTAGCCAGGATGGTCTCTATCTCCTGACCTCCTGATCTGCCCACCTCAGCCTCCCAAAGTGCTGGGATTACAGGTGTGAGCCACCACGCCCGGCCTGTCACAACTTCTTTTATAAACAATCTGGAAATATTTAGTAAAGTAAAATAGTTACACAACTCATAATTTGACTAACAGGTATATAACTATACATACTACCTATACAGACAAACTTTAGCATGGACCCAAGAAAGACAAAACAGAAAGCTACACACAACCTATCAACAGGAAAACAGTATTATAGAAAAGATGTTTATAAAGCTATAAAAATGAATACATCAGAATACACATATTATTGTTATACCCTAAAACAAATCTTCTCATTTTCATGCAGGTGTTTGTGATTATTACCTTACGATCTATAAGTATTGGTGAATACATTTGTAGTCACCACGCCCTGGTCCTTAGGTCTCTTAAAAAATCCCTGAATCATACAAAGCCATATATACAGGTGGTTCTTAAGAATATCTTCCTGATTAACCAGCATTCCTATCACAAGTCAAAGGAAGAAAGACCTCTGACTTTCCCACTACCTTCGCCTTTTTTTTTTTTTTTTTAAGAGAGGGTTTCACTCTGCCACCTAGGCTGAAGAGCAGTGGTCTGACCACAGCTCACTGCAACCTTAAACTTCTGGCCTCAACTGATCCTCCCCTCTTGGCCTCCCAAAGAACTGAAATTACAGGGATAAGCCATTATCTATGCTTTCCCAGCTTCAATTTGGAGCAAAAGCCTCTACCAGTGTTTTTACTACTAGCAGCTAACATCAGTAGCAGAAGTGTCATCATCATTGAGTTAATATTATTAAGAACTCACTACGGGGCCAAACACCTCTGATCAACTCATTCAATACTCACAATACCCTTGTGGGGTAGGTAATATGATCATCCACATAAACAAACAGGCCTAGAGAGATTTAGTCATTTGTCTTAGGTTATAAAGCTAGTAAGTGGTACTATATATTTGATTGGGGAGGTCAATGAACCACATTTATAATTAAGCACAAAGTAAACATATCAATACTAGATTAAGACTGAAGAAATTTTGAATTTAAACTGAATCTAGTCTTTTAATATTTGCCAGACAGGTATTCTAAATATTCACTCAATGAGATGTAACACTGAAATAACCCATTATATGTGTGGGCAATAGGAATAAAATGGTAGGAAGACAAAGATGAATTTTTGCCCAGGCAAGCTCCAGTTTTGAGGAAGGCATTATTAGGAGTGTGGGAGATGCTATTCAGGTTAACAGTCTAGACAGCTCAAGGTCTGAATAATGATGGCATACTGATGAATCACAAGCTAAGTGGATAGACTACTACTTAACAGTATTCTGCTGCTTAAATGTTCTTCCAACCACACAGTTGGCTTCGTAACTGCTCTGAACAAGTTTCTTGCTGCTACAAGACAAATCACAGAACAGCAAAAGTACCCACACAAGCCTATGAAACAAATGTGACACACATACATGATGCATTAATTTATTCATTTCATAGTTATTGATCACCTACTCCATGGCAGGCACAAAACAGACAGAATCCCTGCCCTCGTGAAGTCTGCATTCTAGCTGGGAGAAATTAACAATAAACATAATAAATAAATTATATAGCAGGTTACAAATTGGTAGTTGTTATGGAAAAGGGAAAAAAAAAGTATGAGACAGGGAATGGGAGTAGGGTTAAAAGTTTTAAAGGATGGTTGGCAGATACTATAAAGAAGATGACTTAAGGGCATTTAAGGAAGCCATGTGCATACCTGGAAAGGAGTGTTCCAGGGAGAGGACACAGTGAAGGTCAGGGCCTGAGACAGGAGTGTGTGTCAAGCACCAGAGTGCCAGTGTGGAAGTGAAGCAGAAGGCAGAAGGAGAGTTGAAGATGAGATTTAAAAGGTAAATGGGACCGGGGCTGGCTTTCATTTTAACAGGGTCACTTCTGAACATCGACAATCAAGAAAAAAAAAAAAAATTAGGTAGAGCTACCCCTTCCCATAAGCAACTGGCATGATTTCAGCATTCTTAAAAACATCATTCAATTCAGTTTCTTTGATAAATAACTAACTTATATGCAATTTATGGTGTATTCTTTCCCTGAAGACTTCACACACACACACACGCGGGCACACACACACACTCTCTCTCTCTCTCTAAGATCAGTCAGGTTTAAAAAAATAGTACAGATCTCTAGCTGAAAACGGCAGAGAGAATGCAGGTCTATTTCTTTTCTTTCACTTCCATTCTAGACACATTGACTTCCTTTTTGATACTCACACATGCTAGGCCTACTCCACCTCAGGACCTTTATACTTGCTGTTTCTTGTTGGACTGTTCTTCCTCTACATGTCCACACTACTTGTTCCTTCACTTCCTTTAGGTCTTTCTTCAAATAACACCTTCTCACTGAGATTGTCTCCCTGTCTAAATTGCAACAATCCTAACATTCCCTAGCCCCATTCCCTGCTTAAATTTTGACACACTTACCACCACCTGAGATTTTACTTGGGGTTTATTTTGTTTATTGTCTGTTTATCTGACTAAAATAAAAGCTCCAGAAAAATATATGTCACTTTTTATCACTGTTTTACCTGCAGTACTTATAAGAACACCTTGCAAATACACAGGCCTTTAATAAATATGTACGGAATGAATGAACAGTTTGGTGAAGGCCTGGTGTGGACCCAATGAGGTAAGTTAAAAACACTGAAGAAGACTTTGTAGTGGATAGAAGCGAGAAAGGAGGAATGCTGCAAAATGAGGATAGAGAAGTAAGCAGAAGCCAGATCACGCAGGGTTGAGTAGCAATGTTAAGAATTTTGTATTTTATCTTTTAAGTGACAGGAGACCATTAAAGCATTCTTGTACAAGAAAAGCATCTGCAAATTTGTGTTTTAAAAAATATCAATTTGGATGTTGGATGGAGTATGAAACTTAGGTAGGCAATGGTGAATGCAGGGTGAATACTGAATTAAGGGACTACCACAGTCTAATTCTGTTTTATTAATTTCTATTAATAAATTAAGAACTACCATACCTGCCAGATTAATACCACTGCATAACATCTTGAAATTCAAACACATCCAGAGTACAGAAGTTTGGCAAGACTTTAAACAGAAAACTAGAGAAGTTTCTTTTGCATTTACCTCCAATCCTCCCCTTCTCTCCTTCCTGTCAACAGGTTTTCTTATTTTTTTCATAATTTTAAATTAGTAGATGAATTAGTAGTGCCTATTATACCACATCATAACCAGCAGTTTAGTTGTTGATTGCCCCAATCAGACTACAAATAACTTTAGGGAAAGAATCATACGATAATAAAAGTACCAGTCTTAATTATAATAATTGATTACTACATGTTACACACTATTCGAATGCAGTAACTCATTTAATCTCAACACAAAGATAAGAAGTAGATATTTTATGTTCTCATTTTACAGATGAAGAAAATGAGGAAAAGTATCTTTCCCAAGGTCACATCACTAGAAAGTGACAACCTCACTCCCAAACTGACATTTTCCAGTCACTTATTATGAGGCCTTGATGTTACATCTATATCTCATCTGTCTTTTATATTCCCAACACCTAATATCCTGCCTGGCACATAAATGCTTAATAAATGTTTAAAGAAATAAATACATGCACTATAGTTTATTCTCTAGCTCCTCTACTTACTTCTCTGTTTCTGTCGGTCTCTAATTCACTGGCTTCTTCAGCATTCCCCTCATCCATACATTTCCTACAGGCTGCATCCCCTAAGCTTCATAGAACTTTCGCAACCTTTTGCTGTTGGGTCAAATGGCATATCTATTGAGGTACCTGGAGAGTTAGGAAACCTGCTTTCATGGTTTCCACAGGCATTCTCATTCTTAGCACATCACTTTAGAAGTGCCCATTTTAACCAAGAATGTATCCATGTGGGTGGTCTAACTGAATCAGAGACAGCCTGACTCTTTAGAAAACAATTTTTTAAAAATTTTCCTGTGAATGTTTATTCTACACAGGCAGTTGCTTATTCATGTTGGATAAAACAAGACCTCTCTTCTCTGATATTTCCCCAATACCATCTTGAAATTTCATGCAAAATAATAAAATAAATAAAAATATAAAAATTAAATTTCCAGACAGATGGTCTACGGTTTTTATAAACATAAAGGCAGATGGTTCTCTGTGTCCCCAAAACCTAGAATTTTGATTCAGCATATTCTGACTCTTACTCACTAAATAATCTGGAAGAGTTACCTCTTTCCGGGAATCAGGAAACATGAGAGAAAACCAAAAAAGGTAAAGAAAGGAAGAAAAGCAAATTGTTGTTATTCTCCAATAGGAATGCTACCTTATCATTATTTAGCTCATTTTCTCTGCTTTCTATTTAAAAATTATTAACTCATAACAGTAAATAATATAAGTTGTGCAATTCAATTTACAACGAGTTCCAGGAAAAAAGTTAATAATTTAACACATTCATCTGTTAAAGTTTAAAATATAAAATTCATGCTATCATATACAAATGCATATAAAAGCCTAACTTGTCATGTTCAACGCAACGACTGTAGATAAAGCCTCGCTTAAAAGTTTTTCACTGACACTTAATAGCCAAGACCAGAAAAAAAAAGTATTCAAAATGTTAAATGTGAACGTTCCATATGCCTGACTCCAAGAACTTGAGTATAGACATACATGTGGTTTCAAACAAAAATTTATTGATATACTAAAACTCCATCCACATTAATAAATTCCAAATTTACAAACCTCTCCAAATGACGTGTCCTCAGAACCAATTTAAATTCAAGTAGTTCACAGGATTTATAAGGCAATTTTTTCAGACGACAGGAACGTTTTACCATTGTAACAAAAATGTTACCTGAGGGAGGGTACCATAATTCCATATATAACCCTTGTAAGGGAAGATATTCGCCACATAGCGTAGCTTTCCATCCTTTACATATTGTTTAATGGGATTCAGTGGCTCTTCGGTGGCAATCTAAGCAAATCACAGAAGGAAAAAAAGGAGACGGGATAAGAAATAATTAATTCTACATCCAAATAGTACTTTTAAAAATCTGCTATTTTCAGACTAAACATTCATATTCCAACTTAATGATCAAAGGTGCTTTAAAAGAAATTAAGCCAGCTCTTACTACTAATTTATAGCACTCTATGAGAAACTGTTTGGAAAGGAAACACCAGATTATATATTTAGTCATTCTATTATTTATGTACTCCATTATTTCTAACACAAATAATAACATGATTGAGATGGCAAGAAGATAAAGATTAATCAACTTGCCTTTTGTTACTAATCTCAGGCTTTATTACCATCAATATTATGATAATAAAGCTAACTCAAAGATTCCTACCATATATTCAATAGTGAAATGCTGAAAGCCTTTCCTGTAAGATTGGGAAAAAGAAAAGGATGCCCACTTTTGCCACTTTTGTTTAACATACTATTGGACATCCTAGCCAGAGCAATTAGGCAAGAGAAAACAAAAAAAGGCATCCAAAGTGGGAAAGAAAGAAGTGAAACTGTCACTGTTTGCTGATGATATGATCGTATATATAGACAACTCTAGAGACTCCATCAAAAAAATTGGAAATAATATATAATCAATCTAAGTGTCCATCAACAGATGAATGGATAAAGAAAATGTGGTACATATACATAATAAAATAGCACTTGGCCTTAAAAAAAGCAGAAAATTCTGTCATTTGTGACAACATGGATGAAACTGGAGAACATTATGGCAAGTGAAATAAGCCAGGCGTAGAAAGACAAATATCTCATGTTCTCACCTATATGTGGAATCTAAAAAATTGAACTCATAAAAACAGAGAGTAGAATTATGGTTACAGAGGCTAAGGGTAGGGGGAATAGGGAAATGATAATCAAAGGATACAAAATCTCAGGAAGAATAAGACTTTTTGTTATTGCGACGACAATACAACTTGATAAGTATAGTTAATAACGTACTAAGAGTAAATTTCAAATGTTCTCACCACAAAAAATGGTATTTAATGTGACAGATATATTATTTAGCTTGATTTAGTTATTCCATACTGTATTCATAAGTCATAATGTCACTTTGTACCCTATAAACATATACAATTACCAATTGTCAATATAAAGTTAAAACATCACCAAAAAGGAGACTCTCACCAACTGATTTGATTTCAAGTTAGTTTTCTTCTTTTTTTTTTTTTTTTTTT